CCTCACTCTATACAGGTCCTTAATTGCACTCCGATAACCACTTAGTGTCCCAGCTTTCACACCACGGCTTTTGTAAACAAGAAACTGCTCAAAATACGGAGGCGTGAACTCCATTAGATTAAGTTCACCACTGCTGTCAAAGAATCGATCCGTGTTGTGGTCGACTTTAGCAAGCTCCTTGCGAATCCACTTTGCAATGCCGTTCAAGCTACTCTTGTACTTCCCTCGTGTTTCCTTGGTAACGCAGGCATCTCGGATTGCCTCCACGTCAGCTATAGCCATCCTGCAGGCCGCGCTTTCGCTGGTCTGTTGCGCGCTTCCTTCACTCATTTTACAGTGGCTTCTGGATAGTTTTAGATCAATTTTGGCCAATTGGAACAGCGTGTTATCGTAAGACGATTCCACTTACGATTTGTTGGAAACTCGGGATGGCAAGGCGTTGTATAGTGAGCCTTTGTCAAAATACGAGTAAGAATATTTTTTTTTGATAAAATGTAAGTGGTCAGCGCTTACGAATTGACGCGAAACTCAATATATTACTTATGAAAGTACAGGGATCTTTTTTCCCCTATCGGCTGCAGTTTCACGAAGCTCGATTCCCTGAGTACGAGAATAGACAAGTGTATAGTCATTGTCACAAATCGCTCACATGTTTGGAAGAGACGGAAGCTTTGGCAAAGCATAGAGTGTGGTTGGTTATAAATGAGTGAACTGTGCGTGATCAGAAACAGGATTTGCTTGCTCGGTTCCTCGCTGTCGTCGTTCGCATTCCTGAGTCGACTTGACTAACCGAGATCACACCTCTCCTGGGACCACCACACAATTTAAGTTTTCTTGTTGTGCCCATTTGATAACAAAATGGACGCTCTGCAAGCCACACACGATCTCATCTTGGACTACGATCTGCTGCAAACTGGCCTGGGGAGTGATGTCTATACCGATGCTGATCTGATGACCATTATCGACGAGAGGGATCTCCTGGAGATCGGGGACGACTTCAGCAACAGCTCAGAGGATGATCTCTCACTAGCCGCGTTGGACACGCGCGGGTTCTTGGGTCCGACACAATTTAACGCCAGCAGTCTCGACGAGTCTGTTCCGTGGCCTAAAGTTTCTTCTCAACTATCAAAACGGCGGCAAAGAGGAGTATCACGCAAAACCGAGATTGAGGCATTGAGGAAACTGGCGACGCAACTATCAAAAAAGATCGAGGAGATGAAAGCTGCTGATGCGAAATTACAGGCGTCGTCGAAGAACGAGGCCGGGAACGCTCTGGTGAAGACGTTGTGGAAGGCCATGGCGTCCAGACAGCTGACGCTTCGGAAGTCAGCGGAAGCCCTCAATACCAATCTGCGGGACGAGGTGGTTTTTCAAGCCAAGTATGCTGCGAACCTCAAGCGCATGCTGAACCGACGATATAGCGAGGAGGTATGCACGTTGTGTTCGTGCACTTGATTCTTTATGCGCAAAGTTTAACACGCTGATTGTCTGATTCTGTAGATGCTAGAATCGGTGCCAATCAAAAAGCGCGCCGGACGTATAGTCATCAAGACTTCTGCTGAGAACGAACAGATCTTCAGGGGACTATTGGAGACTATCAACCACATCTATGCCGGCATCGATGATCTGTTCCTCGAGAAGGGGATGTCGAAGCTGCCGTGTCCGGGACGGGCCCAAGAAGTGTATCCAACGACAGTAAACGGTCTGTTCATTGAATTAATGGAGAGAAACCAGGTCCCATTCAGTGCTAGTCGAACTGGTGCGGCTGTCTGGAAGGCTGCGTGCGGCATGAAGACACCGGATGGCGGCATTGTCGATGTTAAGGTACAATCTAGCAGCATGCTTTTCACGGCATCTTGTCATAAAAAAAACTGACCAAAACTGCGTGCGTGTTTTTCCCAGATGTGTGCACAGGACACTCAGCAATCGGAGGACATCGTCACGATGTATATTAACTACACGTGCAATGCTGCTGGACACTCTTTGAACATGCAAGAACGTCGAGTCGGGCGGAAATACGTCGAAGAAGATCGAGTCGTGTTTGTATTCGTATGCTTGGCTGAGCTCAGTAGTCGAAGTCTCGGTCCTCTCGGTTTATCATTTAAAGAACCATCCGCGGTCGTTGTGCGTAAAGGCCCAAGGCTCGCATCGGGGCAGGAGACTGCCGTCATTGAGACATATGTGCGGTGGACTCGATGCGACGACGGTAAGGAAATAGCCAGCCAATTCCGCGGTGCAGCCTTCGTGGATTCAGTGTTCGAGACTTTGAACAAGAGGGTCTCACTTTTCAGTGCACGCGTCGAAAATATTTTGTTTGAGGACTATGTAGTCTCTGTTACTGAGTGCTAAACTGAATTTGATTTTTTGCTACGGAAATCACTTTGTTGCATTTTAGTGCGATACATGACATCTCCTTCCATTGCGTAGATACACCTCTGTATTGGGTAGACTCGTACTTCCAGAAGCAGAATATTCACAAACTCGTCCAGAGATTTGAATGACTGCACTAGAACTTCATCGCTCAACTGCATTAAAAGGAAAGCATGAGCACCGCCAGAACATTAGATCACGATAAGCCCAAGCGTCTTGTTTACTTATATAAAGTACCGTTCTAAAATGTGTGGACGTAAGCTTAAATGAATACCATCCATTCTGGCTCATTTTTTTATACGAGGTAGTTTTCCTCATCTCTATGGTATGAGACGCTCGTCTGCAGCACTATAGTACTATGAAAGGCCGTTTTAATACCGGTAGTTTCAACACCACTTAAATTAGAACGACGTCTCAAACAAGATGCTCGTCTAGTGGCCAAAGTCAACGGTGAATTTTATGAAGACAGAATTAGAACCCGCTGCTTTTGTGCA